GTCTGGCCGAGCACAGCGCTGGGCCCAGGCCTGTGTTATCAACTTACTGAGCAAAAGCAGAACCGCGCAGAGGCAGGACACCAGGGCACGAGGACCGACACACCCCACCTAGGGCTGTCTCCCTCTGCCAGGTGGCCTGCCTCTGTTAAGCTCCTGGAGCGTTCTGAAAGCTAAGTCCCAGGACACAGCAGGTGGCCACTGCCCACGGGCCACAGGGATCCTCATGGGGGCAGGCAGGTCCTGAGCAAGTTGCTAGACACGCAGGAGGRCGGGGCTGACAGAACCGGCAGGAGCCCCCAGGTCCAGAAGGAGTGAGAGGGCCTCCCCCCGCCCCGCTGCCCCCCTGCAGGGGCATGGGGCACAGCCCAGCACCTGGCCAGGCCACAAGCAGGATTCGAACTCAGCAAGGGCGCGTGCGTGTGCACGCATCCACGCCTGTGCACGCTGGGCCTGCGTGCGTGTGCGTGTCCCCTCGCTCCCCCACGCGGCCTGGGCCAATTTTATCTAGCTGCTTTCCGCTCCGTTTCACGCTCGTTCAGCTGCTGAGCTAGACGATTGCTTTGTAACTCTAGGGTGCAATTTCCCTGTCTGTGAGGCGCTGGGGCACAACTGCTCAGAACATCTCGCACCAGACGCGGGTGGGTGTGCAGGCGCCCGGCCCTCGCCCCCCAACTCCTCGACCCCGGGGACAGTCCCTGCAGTGGGGTGGGGCTGGTCCCAGGAGCCTGGCAGGGACCAGGGCTTCTGGGGCAGGTTGACGGCCCCCACCAAGGGGCTGCTATTTGCAGACACCCTCTCCTTCTCCCACCTGTTCCCATCCTGGATAGCACCAGAGGGCCTCAGGTCAGTTTGGGTTCAACACTGCAGWCTGGCCCCATACTGACCCAAGCCTGTGGCCCAGGGAGAACCTAGCTGCAGGCCTTGCCTTCAGAAAGGGGGAGAGGCACCCCATGCACAGAGCTCCCTGAACTCCCAGCCAGTCTGCTCAGCACCCTGCAGGAGCAAGGAGTACGTCCATTTTACAGATGCAGATAGCCAGGATCGTTGTCAGAGCTGCCTGTCCCTCAGAGATGTGGGGGGCGTTGTGGTCACTCACTCCAGAGCTGAGGAGTGTATGAGAAAGGAGGAGGGAGAAGGATGCCAGGACTGCACCCTGTAGAACGGCCATGCTGGGGCAGGCAGGCAGGGGAGAGAGGGACTGGCCCCTTCCCCACCCGGCATGCCATCCGTGAAACTGACCTGCCTACTGCACGTGGGGACAAAGGCCTGGAAGGTGAGTCCCAGTGGACATTGGCTCCCACCGGCCATAGACCAGATACTCAGACTCGAGAGCTGACACCCCTGCCTATCCTGGATCTGGTCAATGGCCAGTTCCCACAGAAATTAGCCAGGGACACTTCAGGGCCCTGGCTCACAAATTTCAAGCCTAGCAGAGAAGAAGAGGGCAGGTCTTGACTTGTCCTGACCCCGAGCCAGTTGGGAGCCCCTGCCCTGCATCTGCCGAGACAGCTGGGCCAGGTCAGGCCCAGAAGCCCTCTTCTCAACCAGGCCATGCTTGCCCTCAAGACCCCATCCCTGAAATACTTCAACCATGGTAAGACCACACACTACCTAAGAAGGTGGTGCCCAGCAGCCCCCTGGCTCTGGTGGACCTGCTAGGCTTCCACCCCACCCCCAGCAGCATCCCCCGGACAGGTGAGTTCTGTCCATCCCTCCAGACACAGAGCCCTGGGGCATGCACAGCCAGCTCTCAGAATGGGGGTGCACAAGCTACAGCACCCACCCTGCACCCACACAAATTCCACAAACCCTCTGGGCATCCTTTTCCAAAAAAGAAAACAAAGATCACCAACTATAACCACCCCACAGCCACAGAGGGGCTGGGACAGGGCCCCTCACAGGCAGTCCGTGGGGCCTCCCGGAGGAAGCAGGCCTTGCCACAGGCCCTGAAGGACAGGCACAGCTGGAAGAGCTGTCTGGGCACTGGTGGAGCTGGGAGCTGGGAGTCGGCCCACTGCAGCCTCCCATGTGATCAGGCTGTCGGCCCAGCTCTGAACCCCACACACCCTAGGACTTGGGGGCCACATGCACCCTAGGCTGTGTGCAGGGCTCCCCTCCCTCCCCAGCCCTCCCTGTGGGCCCAGCTTGCCTGGCCCACAACTGGACCACATGCTCAGACCCCGGCACTGTGGTCAGCCCCAGGCTGGCAAGGCCATGGCTCCCATCAGGCCAGCATATGAGGGCCATTTTTCTCGCCCTAACACTTCCGAAGTCAACAAACAGAGCCCCCTCCAAAGTTTACCAAAACAAACACCCAATCGGCATGCCCAGGGCCCAGCCACGAACTGCCTCGTCAGGCCCGAGCTGGACGCCAAGCCCAGCCTTCAGAGAGTCACGTGACCCTGTTATTTCGGGAGGCCCCGGAATGTGCTCTATTTTGGGTCCCAAGGGCTCTATGTTACCAGAAGCCCCTTACCCAGCCAGGTCCCTGAGTGTCCCCCCAGAGAAGGCCTGTAGCTTTGCTTCTGCTTCTGGCCACCTGGTGCCCCCACAAGCAAATGCACCACTAGCAGTGAGGGCCTGGTATGGGCTGACCCCTCTAAACTTTGCAAGCTCAGCCTTCAAGTCCCACCATCCAAGCTGAGGCCAGCCTGGGCCATCTCCCCCACGGGCATGAAGCAAGGCCAGCCCTGGGCAGCAAGGCCAGGAAGCAAGGGCTGCCTCAGGCAAATTCCCCAGCCTCACTTTCCTTCCAATTCATCCCACACTGATGGGCTCAGTGGCAGCAGCTGGGATACTCCCTGGCCCACCAAGCCCCTTGGTGATTCTGAGAAGAAGCCCTCTCGGCCCAAGACCCCCAAAGTGGGTCAGTCAGGCAGCTGAACGGGACAGTGGAGACTTTCCAGCAGCTCCAGGTCTGATGGGGCAGCCAGTGGGTCCTGGACAAGCCAGGCCCTCTGACACTCACCCCCCATGAGGGATTAGGCTGTGTTGACAAAAGGGCTTAGGCAAGTAGCCGCTTAAATGGACCTTCAACTGCATTGGACTTCAGAGCCGGTCACAAGCTTAGGAAAAAATAAAATGTAATCAGAGCCCAGGACTCTCCACTCAGCCTGGGGGTACGGGCTGCCTGGGAGGTGATCAGCTGGGCCCACAGAGCTGCCACTTCACGAACACAAGACTCCCAGGCACCTCGTGGATAGAACAGTTCACCGAGGCCCGTGGGGAACCTTGGAGGTACACCCTCTGCTCTTCATAGACTCCAACACAGGCACCCTGGAGCCTGGGCACCCTCAGCGCCAGGCCCACACGTGCCAACTAACAGGACTAGCTGTGGCCCTTCTGGGACATTAGGGAGAGGGACTTGTTCTCTTCCTAAGAATTAGCCAAAGTGCAGCCAGGCCCTGGCCATGTCCAGGGGCCAGAAGCTGAGCTGAGCACACGTTCCTGCTCTGGAAGGGTCCTCCGGCGAGCCCAGTTCTATGAGCACATGTGTGTACAAGAGCTTTTGTGGAGTAAAAGGAGATGTCCCCAGACCAGTTCCCACGGGCCCTGCAGTGGCTTTCCCTCAGCACCACGCACAGACATCCCCAGCTGGGGACTCCAATACAAACCCACCACTCAGCACCTTAGCTGGACTTCTCCCAACCAGTTTTCTCATCTGCAAAATGGGCATGAATGCCTAGCCCCTCAGGTTGGACCTGGTGCTCACTCACCCACTCTGTTCTACTTCTGTTGGGAAGCAAGTCTTCTCAGATCGGACACACTTGGAACCTCCCGCCTCAGTCACCCTGTAGCAGGCCTGTCCTGAACCACAGGCCAGGTGCTCAGACCAGCTCCCTCAAAACCCTAGGGGGCTGACCTCTCAATAGCACCAAATGTCCCTGCAGCCATGCTGGGTGCTAAGCAACTCCCAGGGTGGCCAAACTGCACCCCACCCCCACACCCTCGATGTAGGGGGTGGGCAGGCAGAAGGGGCAACGGTCATGGGGTTTGGTTCATAATCAGTTGTCTTAATTTCCATTCGGCACAAATCCTTCACCAGCCTGACAGCCTGGCTGCCGTCCCCACCACCAAATTAATGTCCTTCCCGGAGATCATTTATAAAGCCCCCTGCTTCTCACTGGCTCCCAAACCCTAGGGAAAGCAATGAGTGGGGGCCTCTGACCATGCCCACTCCTCGAAGCTAGGACCAGGGCCTGGAGTAGGCAGGCAGCCTGGGGCTGGAAACTGCTGGGCAGGATGGCAGCAAGAGGACAGGAAAGCTGACCCTCCTGCCTCTAGGCTGTCCTCCCTGATGTGGGGCTAGCCAGTACTGGAGAACAGCTGGGGGTGCCAGAGTGAGGGGCCCCAGTTCTGAATCTGAAGTCCCTGTGCTGCTGGCTCCTGAGTGACGGTACCCACCGGTCTGGACAACTATGGGGGAGAAAGGGGTGTCAGCTAGCTTTCCAACGGACACACACCCAGTGGCCAGCGGCCTGCTGGAACGGGCGGCTGTCCCACGGGGCAAGCAGCGCAGAGGCCACTCAGGGCCCAGCGCGCCACCCCGTCCGGGTGCCAAGGAGGCCGAGAGCCCTCCAGCGAGCTCAGAAGTTGGTCCTCCGGCTGAGGCCCGGTTCTTGCGCGGCCCGGTTGGAGCTGGGCGCTGGGCGCTGGGCGCCGGGGGACGCGGGGGCAGGGGCGCGCGGGGCGCAGAGCCCGCGCCGGCTCTGGGGGTCCCCCCTCGTCCCGAGCGAACCTGCCGCCCCGCGCGCCCTCTGCCCACTCCCGCTCCCGGCAAGTGGGGCCCGGCGCCCTCGCCCCCTCCCAACCCGCCCGCCCGGGCCCGGGAAAAGTTGCCCTGCGCCCACCCCTCCGGGCCCGGCGCCCGAACTCGCGGGAAGGCCGGGGGCGCAGGGCCGAGCCGGACGCCCCCGCCGCACCGCGCACGCGCCCCCGCCCGCCGGCCGCTCGGGCCCCGGCCCCAGCCCCCGCCCGGCCCCGCGGCGGCCAGCACTCACCGAGCGGCAGGAAATGTTTGGTGTCCATGTCTGGCGACTAACTCATGCCCTGCCGGCGCGGAGCTGCGAGAGGCAGCGCGGCGGCCCCCGGCGCAGCCGGCCCGGGCCCGGGCGGCGGGGAGCCGGCGGCGGCGGCGGCGGCGGCGGCGGCGCGCGGAGGCCGCGGCGCGGCGAGTTGTTGCAAAAGTCGCCCAACAATGTAAACTACTTGTGCCTGCGCGCCGCCGCGCGCGCGCCCGCCCGCCCGCGCCCCCGCCGCCGCGCGCCCGCGCCCCGCTCCGGCCCGGCCTGCAGCGGGGGGGCGGCGGGGGGCCCGCGACGGGCGCGGACCCGGCGCAACGCCGCCGCCGCCGCCGCTCGCCCCCGCCTGCCCGCAGCCGACGCGCGCCCCCGCTCCGCCGCCCGCGCCGCCCCGAGATCGCCGCCCGGCGCCGAGTTGCGAGCGCCCTGCAAACTTGCAAGTTTGCCTCCGCCAGGGGTTCCCGGGAGCCGCGGGCAGGCGGCGCGGGAGGAGGGCGGGGCGGGCTGCGCGGTGGGGCGGGAGCAGAATTCCCTCCCTGCCCTGCCAAAAAAAACCCGCGGCCCGGCGGCGGCGGAGGAGGCGGAGGAGGCGGAGGAGGAGGAGGAGAGCGGGGCCGGGAGCCCAACGACCATTGTCTGCAGCGGCCACACAAAGAGGCCGGCCGTGGCCGCGCGGGGATCCCGGCTGGCCCAGCAGACGCCCTGCGGAGAGCGCTGGACCAGCGCTGGCAGCGCAACCGGCGGACGCGTGGGGAAACTGAGGCCCAGAGGGGTGATGAGCCCCGACGTCAGTGACCTGGCGACTCCGGGGAAGCTGGTCAGCTTTGGACGCCCCAGCCCACCCCACACACACACACTTGCACGCTGAAGGGCACCCAGTCCCTCACCACTGAGGGACCCGCAGGCCGGCTGGGCAGCCGGAGTGGGGCTCACACTGCACCTCCATATTGGCCCTGACACCTCCAGAACCCTCCTCAAAGGCGCTGCTGACGACTTGGACATTGACTTTGTGGCCCATGGCTATTTTTACACCATGGGTAGTACTCTGCCCTGACTTTTAAATTCATGATTTGTTTGTTTAAAAAAACGAAAGGAAGCACTCCTGCCCTGGGACAGCTTGGGCCTCCTCCCACCCGCCGTCTTGGGCTGCTGGAATTCGGGTTTGGGTGTGAGCTACCTGCGCAGAGCCAAGCCAGCCTTCCTGAGCACGCGCACCGCCTCTGGCCTGCTGCGCCAGGCTGGCCAAGGCACCCCGCCTCCCTGGCCCCGAACCCCAGCTCACTGCTGCCAGTCCTACACCCAGCTCAGAGAGGGCACAGCGGCTTACCAAAGTCAGCCAGCTGCACATGGCAGCTGGATCAGGGGGTTCTGGTGCAGAAGAGGGCTATGAACACATGTGGATGGCCCGGAGATAGCCACAGTCTGACAAGGGAGAGGGTCCCAGGGGCGCTACTGCCACGTGTGCCACCTCCCTTCTAAGCTTTACTGTCCTCCTCTGGGTCATGGGACAGTAACAGGAGGACCCCTGTGTCCTTTTCTGGAAGGAGCCCCTTGTTCCACTGGGGGCAGGAGCACCGTGGGGTGCGGCTGGGAGGGTAAGCCTTGTTGGGGAGCCCAGGCCAGGTAGGCATCGCTCCCAGTCTCTCCGGCAGACTGTTCCCAGTCTCTCTGCTGGCTTCTCTCTACCCCTGTCCCCTTGGCCACACACACACACACACACACACACACACACACCATCTAGCCAGAGAGCCTGCCCCCCAGGACCCTCCCTCTAGCAGTGGACTTTACCCGTGGCCCTCACCAGCCGTCATCATCTCCGGTGGCACAGCCCATAGCCTACTGACCTCCTGTGGGCCTGGGAATGGGCCCACACTTGACCAAGAGTGAAGAAGATCTGGCCTGCACCTGATGGGCTCTGGGTGTGTGCTGCACACCAGGTGAGGCCTGTCCCCGTCGTCCCTAGACCAGCCCCTGGTGTGGCCCGAACCCAGCCTCCCTGCCTGCTCGTTGGGCACACATGGTGGGGGAGATAAGCCCCCAGTCCCTGACGCCAGCTTCTTCCTGGACAGGAGTGACTCATAAATCCTCTGGCAGCCCGTGGACAGTGGGCACGTCCGCATTTGAACCCATGGCCTGTGCTTAGAACCACTGGCCACCCAGGGTACCAACTGGGTACACAGTGGTGCTGTGTACAGGCCTCACACTGTTCTCACAGGGTGACCAGCAATACAGCACTGCCTTCCTGCCACGGCCTGTGGGCTCTGGACTGTGCACAGCTCACCCCCACGGAAGGGACGAGGATGGGTCTGGGGTGGGGAGAGGAAGAATGTGAATGATCCTGTTTTCCAAATATCTGCAGAACCCACACAGAGGCCTGACATCGGGCACTCAGAGGAGGTGTAGCCACGATGGGTGAGGCAGGGTCAGACCCTAGGTCTGGCTCTCACCAGCCACGTGACCTCTGCACCTCAGTTTCCTCATCTGTAAGTGGGGACTGCCCCGCCCTCTCCCTGAGTCACTGGGTTGGCTAAACAGGCCGTGCAGGGACACTGGCACAGAGGAGGAGCTCCACAGACGGCAGCTGTTTTATTACTGTTATGGGATGGGATGGGCAACTCACTCTCCTGGGAGCCATAGCCATGGCCTGGAAGGGCCAGGGACACCCACAGAAGCCGTGGTTGGAGCAGATAGGAAGCACTAGGGACAGTGGCAGGAGGGCAAGGTCCATAAGCCAGGAGTCCCGTGGCTTTCTGATGGTTGGTCCTTGAGTTGGGTTTTGAAGGAGGGGTGTGTTTGTCGGTCGAGGCACCCCAGGGTGGCGGGGCAGTGGCCTGGAGGAGGATCAGAGCCGTGAACAGCAAGCCTGGCCAGCCGCAGGTTGGAACATGCCAGAGAGTTGTGGGAAAGCTGGTCCCAGAGGCCTCCAAGGCTGGGCTACAGCATCTGAAGCCACCTTCTGACAGTGCTCCTGCTCCCACTGCACCCCTCCCCCAGCCTCACCCCTTGCTGCTGGAAAACTCAGCTAGAAACCAGCAGGCTGCGCACGGCCCAGGGAAGGCTGAGGTCCAGAGGGGCCTGTTGCTCCCAGGAGCCCATGAAGAGTGGGGAGTCCGCGAGGCCCAGCACCCTGCAGGCTGAGTTCAAAGCCAACCCGGGTGTCCACAGCCTCGCCTTCCCTGTCCAGAGCACAGGGATCGTGGTGCCCAGGGAGCCCGAGCTGGCTGCCGGAGGGGGCCCCACCAGACACAGGTCCACGGTGTGGGCATGACAGGGCTGCTGGTTGTTTCTGCAGCCACTATTTCCCACTCTCCTCCCAGTTTGCACTCTTGGGTGCTAATGATCCCACACAAACCCTCCGGGAACAGTGGCTGCCCTTTGGGAGTAGCCAGGTCCAAACTAACCATGGAAAAACCTACCATGTGCCTCCGAAGCCAAAAWTACTTTTATAGTTGTATCCACCTATTTACAACCTGCCGTCTAAGAGAGTTTTGTTTTTTGTTTTTATTTGGGGCTTTTTAAGGCACCTTGGCCTGTTCCATGTGCCCGCCTCAGCTCAGCCTTGTAAACAGTCTCAGGAATCACCTGGTGAATAATGTCTTTAAAGTCTGTCCGCTGGGCACCCTGGAGCTGGCATCGGGGTGGAGGGCTGGTGTTCCAGAAGTCCCAAGGACCCCACAGGGTGCTGGGTCACCTCCAGTTCCTTCCCCAAGGGAGGGTCCATGTGATCCTGAGCTGGTAACTGGCGGAGCCTCATGGGGTCGGGGTGCTGGGTCCCCAAACAAGGCAGGCCAGGGGCTCCTGGCCAGATGGTCTGTCTCTGTCTCCAAACAAGCTTCCCTGAGGGGCCCTTCCCCACTCCCCTGTGGCTGTGTTGGGCGTAATGCTTTCTGTCTGTGGTGACAGAGGACCCAAGCTAGGAAATGGCAGGTAAAGTTCAGAGCAGCGAGGGCCTTGCCTGAGGTTACCCAGCAAGGCCGGATGGAGCTGGGGGCTAGGACCCAGGGCTCCAGCCCCCACCCCTTTGGTAAATCATGTTGCATTTCTCCACAGATGGGGGAGATGGGAAGGCTGCCGTCCACACTCAGATTCCTGCCTGTTCTGCTTGGGGGAGGGAGAGAAGGAGAGGAGGGGCGAAGACCCTTTCTGCCCCAGGTCAGGGCCTAAGTGAGACCTTTGCAGCCCTGCAGGACGATGCCATACCCGTCGGCAGGCGGTGGGAAAACCAGTGCAGAGGAGGAGAGGGCGAAGTAGGAGGGGCCCCAGAGGCCCAGCAGCTACCTCCCTCACGGGTGGGCCCTGTTTCCAGGTGCAGCAAGTGTAGGGAACAGGGCTGGTGTGTGAAGGATGGGGACTCTGGGCAGCTCTGGGAAAGAGCCAGGAGAGGCCAGCAAGGATCTCCAAAGAACTGAGGAGACACTCCTGCCGAAACCCAGCTCACCAGCAGACTCACAGGAGGCCTGGGAGGGGCGGGCGGTTCAGAGAGTGGGGGAGGACACCGGGTGCTTCCTGGGGGCCTCCTGGGCTGGCCTGCAGCAGCTGCTGGGCGCCATCCCCAAACGCCCCCAACAGGCTCCTTTCCCCCACTTTACAGAAGGAGACACAGAGGCTGAGAGGAACAAGAACTGACTTCAGGTCACACAGTGGCCCCCGTGCTGTGGTCGCAAGCCAATGGTCAGAGCCCTTGGGAGGACTCCACACAACCACCAACCTTGCACTCCAACCTCTAAAATCTCCTGCACCACCTGCTTCTCCTCATATATGAGTAGGTAAGCCAGGGCAGCCCGTGCCAGGTAAGACTGGAGTTCAGGCAGAAGGGACAGGCGACAGAACTGGAAAACAGGGTGCTGGGAGAGATACCTGGGGAGGAGGCCAGAGTCAGGCTCTACCACCAACTGTGTCACGGCCCTTGGGCAAGCGTCCTCTCTGAATTTCAGTGGCTTCTTCGTAAAACAGGAGAAAAGAACCAGTTAACCACAGAGGCTTTTGGACATGAAATGAGACTATGACAACAGGAAACCAGAAGCCAAGGTATCCCAGGCGTTGGGAAGAGCCCAGGCTGAGACCGCCAACTGGGGGCACCAGTTCCAGCCGCGCTTGACTTTGAGGCTGGCATCTTCTCCCTGGCTCTCTGCACCGTGC